CAAAAAAAAAAAAAAAAAAGAAAAAGAAAATCAGTTGATCCACAATCCTTTGACATTTTCCTTCTACCTTCCTCCTTCCTATGATAATGCAAGAAAGGTTTACAAAATGCCAAATTTTTAATGCTAGACAAGGATTTTTTTTTTTTGGATTTGGAGTCTCACTCTGTCGCCCAGACTAGAGTGCAGTGGCTGCTCCCGGCCACCACAGCCTCAACCTGCTGGGCTCCGGCGATCCTTCCACCTCAGCCTTCCAAGTAGCCAGAATTATAGGCATGCGCTACCACGCCCGGCTGATTTTTTTGACTTATTGTAGAGATGAGGTCTCGCCTGCCCAGGCAGGTCTCGAACCTGCGGGCTCAGGCAGTCCACTCACCTCAGCCTCCCAAAGGCGCGGGATTACAGGCTGAGCCACCGAGCCCGCCTGACAAGGATTTTAAAAATCTTCACATACTTGAACTTACAAATGAAAATAGAAAACTTTTCTCCACAGTCCTTACTGAAAGAAACCTGCTGTCATTCAAAAGAAAAATTTTATAGAAGAGATATTACTGAATGAATGTGGATTAAGGATTATAAAGAAACATTTTTAAAAGTTCTGTCCCCCTTGAAGGTTGATGCTCAGTGTTATTTAGCAAGTTTGGGGTGCTTTCAATGTCCTGGTTCACTCTCTATTTTACTGTCATCAATAACGATAGCAGTGATTTTATTATAACTATTGCTTACTTCAAAATTATGTATTAGACCAGATATTTCAAGGACATTTTTGGTAACCACAACTGATTATAATTTTTACACTCTCAATTGCATTCATAATTAGTGAGAACCATGACAATCTGTCAATTGCCTTTATTCATTGAGGCATTAAATAAAGCCAACATTTCTCGCTTAGTTTTCTGACAATTTTGCTTTCCAAATTAAGACTAGGATTCATATTCACTAGGCCAGAAAAACATATGAAATATATGTCCTAAAACATACTTCTAAAAGGTAGACTCATTTTAACTATTTTATATTTTTGTTGGAAAAAAATCTGCACTAGAAACCCCATTTATAAATTATAATGAACCACATTTTAGAAGTTAAGAAAATGAATTATTCTCTTTTAAGATTGTTTAATGTTTCAAGTAGAATTCCCCTCTTTGCAGCACTTCCAATGATATAATTTTTGTTGTGATAGGAAAACAGAAAGTTAATGACTCTTTCCAATTTGTTCATTTTCATCTCTTATATGCTTGCTGCTGTTTAGTTCCCAAGTGTATTTAACTGGCAAGTTCAGTGAAGATTTGGCATTGCACCATTTGATGAAAGCAGAAAAATTAGGTTGCCAATTACATATGTGCCCCTTATGTGCACTGAATTCCCACTGAAGTGATGAGCCAAATTAGAAATTCCTCAGTAGTGCTACCTAAAAAATAAAATTAGAGCCCAGGGAAGGAAAGGGAAATATTTTTTTTCCAACCCTATTAGCAGTCACACGACATTTTAGAAAGTAAATTATCTTTAATACATTTGCAAAACAATGTTTGCAGATTAAATGCCATTAATCATTCAGAAATTGCATTTCTACTTTTCTTTCTTAGTAATTTATTGTTCTTTGATTTACTTCATATTCTATCATGATTAGTCAATCATTATGGAAAAAGTTAGATGAAGACCACTTCCCTCCTTCGCTTTAGCCTAATGGAATAGAGGAAATTCAAGAAAATATTATACATATGGTATTAGCATGCTGGACTTCTTCCATATTACTAAGAGGTACATTATCCTTTTATGATAATTGTTGTAACGTGAAAGTGGCATTATGGGTCCCTTAAAGCAACAGGTGCAGTTAATTGAGATCAAGGCTGACACTGGTACTTAGTTCAAGTCCAAGGGCTGGTAAGAAAGTGTGAGATAGATGTGCAAATTAACTCAGTTGCAGTTCTGGGTCCAAAGAGCACAGAAAAATTCATTTTTTTTTCCTTCTTGAAACAGGTTCTCGCTGTGTCGCCCAGGCTAGAGTGCAGTGGCACAATTCTGGCTCACTGTGGCCTCAACTTTCTGGGCTCAAGCAACCCTCCCACCTCAACCTCCTAAGTATCTGGGACTACAGGCATGCACCACCACACTCAGCTAATTTTTTTCATTTTTTTGTAGAGGTGAGGACTCGCTATGTTGTACAGACTGGTCTCAAACTCCACGGCTCAAGCAGTTCTCCAGCCTTGGCCTCCCTAAGTGCTGGGATTACAGGCGTGAATTAATGCACCAAGCCAAACTCAATCTTAATATAGAAAACTCTTAAATGGGCAACCTTCTAGGTAGATGGGACACAGTAGACAAGAATTTAGATGGAATCATTTTTCAGAAATCTCATAGTAGTTACTATACTTGATACACTGTCTTTTTAATAGCAGAAATTCCACTCAGTGGCAGAACAGCAGGATCTATTAATGAGTAAACCTAGGCAGAAGCTAAGCCCAGGTAACTGGGACAAAACATTCACTGCATGAGCTGTCTTTGATCTGGGAACTACACAAGACACTTAGGATTCATCCTACTTGGGAGCAAGATTATTAAGGTGAATGTAAGCCACTGTCCTTGTATCTAGGCTGCCATGTCCCAGGATTACAAAGTGATTTAATTCTAAGCC